AAAAAAAAAAAAAAAAAAAAAAAAAAAAAAAAAACACATCATAGTAAAACCAATACCTTCTCAGCTTCGCATCGAAGCTAAAATACCTAGTTAAACAGTTGTTTTTTTATTAATTTATTTGATAAAACTTACTCAATACTAACTGGTTTTTTACCCCATCAATTAGTGTAAGAATACGCTTTTATTTTTCATATTGTTTCAGTTCATTACTCATTAATTAGAGGCCTAATCTCAATATTAATACTTGATTTGTATTTTTAATAATGTGTCTAGCTTAAAAAAATAAAAATTGCACACTTTTACTTCGGGTTACTGTGTATTGTGTCACCACTTTGCTACTTTGTTTCTTCATCAGTGATAAGTAATTAAAATTAAAATTATTATTATTTNATCAGTGATAAGTAATTAAAATTATTATTATTATTTTTTTTTATCGGCTCATTTAAGGGCCATAGCGGACTCTCCCAAAGGAGGAAGTTTTCTTAACCATTTATACTCTGGAACGGGTGGTTAGTCCGTAGCCGTAGAGAGGGGCCGGAGACTCTGACTACCGAACAGATCTCGTTCGACAAATGAAGTCATCCCTGACCGAGTTTCGAACCCGAGGAAGTGCCCGCCAAGCACTGCCGCGTTACCAACTCGGCCACACCGTCCTCATTAAAATAATTAAAATATATGATTTTAATATATTGTATGAAGGCAATAATTACTTTAAAATAATTTCAACAAGATAATAATTGGATGAAAAATATTGGAATTATCATATCTTCGTGACTTCTCCTATAAGTGATTTGTAAAAACAAATCCACACCTTATGGTTTCTGAATTTTAAACATGCAGAGATTTGATAAACATTACAATTTGTATATGAAAATTATGTTAAAGCACGTTTTACAAATGTACAATATTCCTCCGATGAAATAACGCGTGTTAATTCATATACATAAATGTGTGAAAATTAACAATTAGTTCACCAACAAAAATCAATTTCATTTTACTTTTTTTTTTGTAAAACTTTGAAAAAAAAATCAAGATTTAGATGAAGTGATACATTCATATATTGAAAAAATCGATGTATTTCATAGCAATAAATTATTAAAATAATAAACAGTTATTATACAAAAAATCATTTTTTATAATTAATTTCTATAGAAAAAATTTCTCAATTAATTTTATACTCCTAAATAGTATTTTTAATATTCGACTTTCAAAGGTATGAAATGTTCAAACATTATATCATAATAATATGATTTTATATATTTATTTTGTATTAGTGTTGTAAATTTCACTGAAGAAGTCTTCGAAAAATTAATATTTAAAGAAATATTTAAGTAAGATATTGTCGTTATTAATTTTGATGTAAATGTATAATAAAGCCTATAATAAATTAATATTATGTATGTTTTAAAATAAAGAAAATAGTAACTCACCCACATAAAAAAACCGCAAATATTTAAGAGCTACTCCATATAGTTGCACAGTAAAGTATTTCGTCACTAACAAGGTAACTGATCGGAATACTTTTAGAATATATACATCATGTGCAATATCCCTATGCTCATCAGTGATGGATTTGCGGAAAACGATAGGAGCTATCCCCTCCAGTATATATTTTAATATCTAAAAAAATATATAGGGAGGATGTTGACCTACCTTCAAAGTGAAATCCTAAATACACTACTAATGATCGTAAAATTCAATTTAATTGTTATCCTTGATTTCTCTATTCATTGGCAGCTTGACAAATAGTTAATTTTTATATAATAATTATTATATACTTAATGATTATAATCATTAAGCGATATAGGCGATCGATTTTGGGTAAGACGCCCATTTTTTTTTATTTTTGTATGAATTTGTACGCCAAAAATTAGAATTTGTACAATATTCGTTTACTAGACATAATCATTTTTCTTATCAGGGGATGTAGAAAAAGTGAAAAAAAAAACAGATGAATAGATGTAACCAAAATTATAAACGGTCCACCTTCGATTTAACTAAGTCAGTGGATTTATGCACTTTATTTTAGTATCAAGGTGGATATTTATTTCATGAAGGCAATCAAGGTATGTGCATATTATTATTAAAACACATAAAAGATTATATTTAACATACAATAAGTAAATTTGCATTACTTGTACATTTTATTTGATCTTACATTTTTATAAACATGATTTTTAATACTATAATCTTTTAGTTTTTGCAAAATATATACTTTTTTAATATTCAAGAATATTCCATCATATCTAACGAACCATGTATGATATGATCTAACTTTTTATACAAATGTTGTTTAAAATTAAATTTTCTTAAAAATTATTTTTGAACCGATCGTTTTATTGTTATACCTGGAATATATCGATAATATTATGATTTTTACCAAATACATGAATACTAAATACTATTTTAAAATAATTACGAGTGTATTTTTGTATAGTATTTATATCAAATCATTAAAAAATATTCCGTATTGTTATTTGACACAAAAGATCTGACAAAAGCAGCTGTTCCTCCATTAAGTACCATTAATGGATACACATTTTGTTTAACGCTGCTTTCAAAAAAAAAACAGTTGTTTTTTCTCATTCAACTTTAATTCTTTGATAAAATTTCAATCGTTATTATTTATGAAATACTGTCAAGACTAACAAATTTTATAACCCTCTTGAAGCTTATAAAATACATATTTTTGGATTTACACTTAATTATTAATATTATTAACGAGAATTAATTTTTAATAAGATAGAATTTATATATAAACTAGAAAATAATAAATGCTATTCTCTTAAAGTATTTACAGCACACAATAAAAAAATTTAAAGTTTAAAATATTCAAAACGATACAGTGTTTCTGTCGGCTGTAAATTACGTTATCAACCTATATGGAAGTGTATAGGATATTGAATCATAAGTGCACGGTGATCAAGGGGTAGGTCTCAAGCTCTAATTCCGTGCTTTCCTCCTTTTTTTCACATGATTTTTAGTAGTGTTTCGATAGCCGGCTATCAATCCCCAGTGATCATGTCATGTTTTAATATTAATTAAATGTTACAGTTTGTAACTCATAAATTCTATTTAAAATTCATGTCTCTTGTAAAATAACCTAAGATTTGCACCTATATATTAAAGTTGATTGAATATCACTTGTCACATTCTACTCCAATGTTTAAAATAAATGTTGACTTTAACATAAATAAACTTTAATATTTTTATATCAAAAATACAAGGAAAATCAAATTTTTAAATTAACTTAAAAATATTATCTAACTTTAATTTTTAAAAGAACAAATATTAGAGTATAGTTAATTTTATCTTAATTATAAAATTTTTAAAATTTACTTAATTTTAACATCAAGAAAATTATAATTTATTATTTATTTCTTCTGCTATTAATTATAAAATAAAAAAAAAAAGACATTGTTGTGGCTACAAACCACGCTTGGTAAGAAATAAGCTGCATATTAAATAAATGAATGAGCCCTGGTGTTATTCATAAATTTTTACGTCAATGTCGCCATAATGTAAAAGAAAAATTAGGTTTGATATTAAATAGTAAGAATAACCAAATTTCATTTGAAAATCAAATTCTAAACAAGAACAGGTTGAATAAAATGAGATTTTATGTTGTAAAAAATAAAATAACTTATATATATATCTCATTGTGTCTTAGTTCAGATGTATAATATATTTTTTAAATATATTTAAGGAACTCCTGAATCTGCTATCATACCTATTGACGCAGCTTTATGAACATTAAAACTTAAGATTAAAAAATCAAAACAGAGGCATCCAGATATATTGACAGCTTTGAATATAATAAAATCTGAACGGAGTGTAAAAAAAAAAAATTATTATATTCGCAAATAATTTTTTAAAAATCCCTCAAAGTTCTTTTATTTAAAACAAATATATTGAAAATTGGAGATCGTTAGGTAATTTTTTTAGTATTAGCAAAATTTTCATTGTTTTAATGATAGTTCATACATTAATATCATACAAATAATATTTGATTTTTATCACTACAATCATAAAAAGTAGGAAATTAAAGTCATTAAAATAACAAATATAGTTGCCTTAAATTTTAACTGATTAAAATCTGAAATTTTTGAGGCTGAAGAAGTTAATTTTTCTTCTTCGTCATTCATTCGAATAAACCAAGGAAGAATTTCGATGTCAGCGGCATAATCATATACCCATATTTTACCGTCAATTAAAGGTTCATTAGGATTATTCATATCTTTCCATTTACCGGCTGGAAGATAAATGTTTCGTTTTGTAGCATTCTGAACCATAACTGGAGCTACGAGAATGTCTTCGCCCAAAAGAAATTCTGAAACATATATTTTTATTTTTTATAGAGTATTAAAAAAAAAGTACGTTAACAAAACACAAATATAACTAACCGTCATCGATAGAAAAGGCTGTTGGATCATTTGGATCAATCCACCATATTGGAGGATTTATTGGATCACCATTTTTTACTGCATTTTCCATTAATTTTACAATAACATCAGCATATTGTAAGTGAAGATTCCAAAATTTTTTGCAAATTTTTGCAGTCTAAAAATATATATTGAGTAAAAATTTTAACTGATAACATTTTTATGCTTTTATATAAACTAATTTTAATCACAAAAAAAACCCTATTAACGTTGTTTTTCTTCATATTTTTTATATTATTAATTATTTATCATTATTAATAATAATAATTACTCTACTATGATTATTAAAAATTTTTTAATATTTAAAAATTTAAATAAAAAATAATAATTTTATTTTTAGAAATTCATAAGCTAAACTGTTATATGTATAGTTTGCGAGTACAATAAAATAAATAGTACAGTCGGGCTCCAGCATATTGAAGATCTGGTTAAACAAACAGCAGTATAAATTGATATATGTCAGATTGTTTATACAAACACATATCATGTAATAGGAAAAAGTTAGAACAAAAATTTAAAATTGCAAGCAAATATTGTGCCACTATTCGTTTCTGACAATAGTGTTTGAAAATAATAAGATGAATTGATAGTTTTAGACTATTGAATTTTTCAATAGTATTCACTCGGTAGTTCCCATAAGTAGTAACAAGAACTTTACCTTTTCTCCAAAATCCCAGGGAGGGATTGAAAATTGTACTACTGGCATAAATGTATTAGCTTGCATCCATCTAATGAATAATTCTTCTGAGATTTTATCATCATTGTATACATTCCCGCCAATCATATCTGGTAACACATACGGATAACCTACCATGTTAAAATGTAGTAAAGCAGTTACAAGAGATTGCAATCCTAATTTCCAATTCCATCGAGATTCTCTGTCAATCATTCGCACGAATTTTCCTTGTTTCTGTACTCTCCTGGCTGTTCTATACTCAATTCTATCACCAAATTGTGATATTGTATCAATATATGCGTTAACAATATTGTCTGGGTAGTATGTTAAATCATTATTGTAATACACTGGTAATTGGGGGCACCTAAAAAAAAATTATCATTTTTTATATTCATAAGAATCAATATTATTGTTTTCAAAGAAAAAATACATATACGCAAAAAAATTAAATATTCAAAAACAATTAAATAAGAAAAATCATAAACAATATTTCCTTGAACAAAGCCGGTTTATAATTTAATAATTAATAAACCCTAAATTAGTTTTCATATTGGGAATTTTTTTTATTAAATTTTTATGTTATTGATCTATACTGAACATTTTTAAATGACGTCCCAGTAAAAACGATCCCCATATATCGCATCACAGAAAACGATTTTATAATATTACCAAATCCTATTTTCAAAGTCGCCGCCACCAACAGTCACATATGCAACGGACTCCTCTAAGTGCGCCACAAAATGGCTTAAATAAGAAAACATGTCAGAGATAATCATAGATTATGGAAGATTAATTGGTCGTAGAGAAATGATCAATATGTCAATTTAAACATGAGAATATTATCTATATCTGGACATTGTTGATTTTCAATAAACAAATTTATAACAGTTTCAAAAAACTTAAACTTTAGAGAGCTAAAACGTTTTTAAAAATGTTTTGTTAAAAATCACCCATTTTCGGATGTTGAACATTTTGTTATGTTTAATTTGATCATTTTTCTATGACTATTCAATCCTACAGAATCTGTAATTGCTCGAAACATAGTTTGATGTCCCGAAAATAAATACCGTGACACTCTCTTCATGNACATAGTTTGATGTCCCGAAAATAAATACCGTGACACTATCTTCACATAACTATAGTGTGTATTCAATCAATAAGAAAACAAATGAATTATTATAAAACAGTAAAAACTCTTATAAATAAAATCAAAAAGAAATCAATTTTTTATTTATGTTAATAAAAACTATTTTTCTTTTATCTTCTAGTGGAACAACTTATCGAGAATATAATATCCCTTGTATTAACATACCATGTACTTTCACCAGCATCAAATTTTAAAGTGTCAATTTTAGTGTAATCGAGTAATTTGAATAATCTATTTGACCACCATCTAGCAGCGTAAGGGTTTGTAAAATCTATGTGACCAGCAACACCATTCCACCATTTCGTATTTACAATACCATTTGTACTATTCACAAAGTATTTTTTATCTAATAGTTCATTAAAGACATCACAATTCATCTGAACGAACGGATGTACCCAAAGAGAAACTTGGAAACCCATATCATCTATATTTAACAATTATATTTATGACATAACTTCAATATATTAAAATGTTACATTTTTAATAGTATAGTAGTGATAAATATTAGTACTGAATTATATATTTACACCATTCGAGTTAAATAAAAACATTAATGAATGACGTAAATGTAAAAATAATATAATAACAATAAAGTATTAATAGTTTAACTAAATGGTCAAATTATAATAAATGTTTTCAAACAACAATAATAAATTTTAAATAATGTATGTTTTTACAGTCCATATAATAACCTTCTCCAAAAAGAATGTTTTCTAAACATGTTTACTACAAAACATGTTTTTCTGTTATCAAAGAGAGAGGTGCTTATTTAGATATTTTTCACTCAATACATAGAGCTGTCCGCAATTAACCACAAGTTACAGACAGTTCTATGTGAGCCATTAGTTCGACATTATAGTCTCAAACCAGTACCAAAATACTACAGGCAATTTACAAACTTGGTCTATCATACATTATAAACATTATTAAATATTAATATTGAAGGTGAATATATTATTATTATTGATAATATATATATATATATATATTGATAATATATATATTATTAATATTGAAAGGTGAATATATTTTTGTGACATGTTTTCTCAGTTTTTACAAGAGTGATAAAGTTCTAAAAACCTTTAAAAGAACATCAATTATATCTATTTAAATTTTCATGACAACGAAAATAGTCCAATCATCTGCTAAAATAATGAGAAGTAAGTGGTGAGATTTAATTTTTTTAAAAAATAAATAAGCTTTTCTTTAATAAAAAGTCATGTTAACGATTTTTTTAAGAGTCTTAAATTATTAAAATTCTTTAAAAGCATAAAGGTTGACATATCACTCTAAAAATAACTATATTAGCTCAAATGGTTCTTTTTAAGCTTAAAACGAAAAACTTTATGAAAATATATAATCTGAAAGTTGAAAAGAAATATTTTCATGTTTTAATTTTTTTATTTTTAGGCCTCAATTGTATTACAACGCCAGAATTAATTATTTTATATTATTAATGGAATTTATTATTCCAAAAATATAAAATTTCTCATCGATTTTTTTTTGTTTTTGCTAATAAATTTGTAAAAAAATAATGTGATTAAAGAAATTAATTAATTTGTTTTAGTAATAGATGAAAAATTAACACAGAAGAAATTAATTTATATTAATTTTTATGTGCTTTATACTAATATTTCCCGAATGGAATATACTTTTATAATTTTTACAAATCAGATTTTGACATAAAAACATTTAAATACAATTTAAAACAAACATACATTCGTGTTTAAATACAGAGTGATCAAAATCTGGAAGGACTCTCATTTTCTCAGAAAATATTAATAATTTTAAAGTTTTGTAAGAAGAAAAAATATTAGGTCTAAAAATTTTTTCTATAATATATAGTTAAATCATTTTTTTTTGTCCCTTCATGAATAAAAATTCTATTACCCCCTTTTATAATCCTATTTATAATTTGCTTAAATGGAAGCCTCGACTTTTAACTTTATATTACGATAGAAAAAAAATACAAACAACTATATATCTACAATTTTTTTTATCCGATCAACTATTTGTGTTTTACACATTATTTAAACATTTGGATTTCAAGTAAAAATCATTAATTTGGTTATAAATACCAGTGACAATGCAACCGGTATTATTGCTGCCACCGTGGCGGAAATAATCTTTTATAATAGCCTATAAATTATTCATCATGGTAATTATCAAGAAAAATTGTCTACTCGGTTGTCTAAAGAAGTGATAATAATAATATATTGTCACTATCAAATAAATTTTTGAACCTAATATTTTGTCTTCTAACAAAAATTTAAAATCCTTAGTGGTTTCTGAGTGTTTTACCAGATTTTTATCACTATGTATTAAATTACTATAAAGGTGTATAAACTTACGTAGCGTTGATACTAGTTTTTTGATATATGGAAATTTGTTTTGATTAAATTCTGCACTGCCATAACATGTTTCCCAATCATCATCAATTTCAAGTTGTCCCTTAGGATATCCATTATCAACAATTTGATTGGCATAATCTAATACTTTTTGTGAATCAATTTTTGTTTTGTACTTGGCCCATGTAGACCAAATAGGATTTTTTACCAAGAACGAACTTGGTGCTGAATTAGGCTTCCCGAGAACATCATTTATAGCTTTTTGATGAGCTATTTTGGCATTTTCATATCGACATACTCGATATTTTAATCGATTTTCAGTTTTTCTATAAGGTGGTTGTACTTTGGACGTAAAGCACATTTTTTCTTGTGTGTACTGTCCATTGATATCCAAAAATAGTGGAACTGAATCATCTATGTGAATATAGAAACCATCTGAGCTTAAAAAATAAGACTCTAGGACCTACAAATAAAAACTAATGTTGTATACATTATGAAAATCAAAGTATATACATAATAACTGCAAAATATTTCAAATTTAATCATATTGTTATAAGTCACTAACAAAAAACTTACTGCTTGGCTCTCAACCTCTCCAGTTGAAACAAATGGATATTCTGTCATTCTAAATTTATTCAATGGCCATAATTGCTCACTTCTTTCAGGTCCACCAAACCACAAAGAATTTCCAAGATCGACACATACTTTTAATGTAGTATTTATATTATTAGCTAAATGATCAAAGTCCATACATTCTTTACTATTAGAAGACGTCTTATAATTTAAAATGTTTATATTGCCCCCATTGTTGTTATCAGTTGTTTCTACGTCGTCATTTTCCACAAAAGAAGTGAGTAACAATTGTTTTGAAGTCTTTTCAAATTTACCTATGAATAAAAATAATAAATTTTCAATCAACATTCAAAATTTATTTGTTTATTCTATTGAAAATGATAATATAATTAATTTGAACAATTCAATATCAAAAATCGTAAAAAATGAAAGCTAATTGTAAATGAATAATGTAGATTAAAATAATCTTATTATTTATTATTATAATCTTAAGTTGTTTTTGATCGCTGTAAAATACATTATATTTTTAAAATATAAAATACTTTTGCTCTACAATATCCACACATCGATACTTGGGTACAATATACAATAATATTAATTTTTAGTATTGTGATTTTTAATTATCAAAACGACTCAAAAAATACTCTATTTGATTAAAAAGATAACATAAATTTAACATTTTAGACTTTTACTTTTATTATTAAAAAGCAATTTTAATAATATATTTAATATTTATCAGTGAAATAATTTAAAATATAAAATAAAAATTAAATATATACAAGTATGATTTTAAAATTAAAAACATAACCATGTGGTGCCCTTTAATAATATTATTTGCACTATAAAATATTATTTAGTAACATATGTTATTAAATCATTTTTGTAATCAGTTGATATCTAATCTATTTTAATAACATGAAACGCCCTCATTAATACCACCCCCACCTAGCCATAAAAATTTCACAGATGTTTAGAAAATTATTTTGTGCCCATACATAATTTTATATGAATTAATCCATACCTTTAATTATTTATTATTTATTTTTAATTTGTAACATTCCTCATTTAATGATGACTTAATTGTCCTAAAAATTAGGATAATTAATCTTACTAAATTAATTTTTTTTTATTAAACACAAATACTAAAATGTTACTCACAATAATGTATCGTTACTTTAAAAAAATAATTATATTTTGTTTAAATATAGGATCAGAATAAATATAAGTTAAGTCCGGTGCAATATTTAATATATAAATAAATAAATTTAATATTTACTACACTTAAATATTTACTAATACACTGAAGTATATTTTTACCAACATATTTTAGATTTAATTTAAGTGACTGGACAGTATGTATAAGAAGGAATTTTTTTGTGAGAGAGATATTTTACTATTTTTCATAGTGTAAAATCGATATTCTAAAAATTCAAAATTCCTTACCAAACCTTTTAACGTTAAGTTCATTTTTTCTATTAGTAAACAAAACATATGTTTCTGGTTCTCGAGCAAATACGCAAAACGAGATTTGAATAATCACACTAAAAACTAAAAAAAAATGATAATTAATGTTTCATTTTACATAATTACAATTTTATTCATTCAATTATTTGTTTATAAAATAAACTTAAGCATTTAAACTTTTAATAAGTTTCAAATAGAATCTTTATGACTTATGACTTGCCAAACATGAAAATGATTAAAGTATTTAAAAGTCAAGCTTTAATAATTGTAATATAATTATTTTATTGAGTCTTCGAGATGTATATTATTATCCAAATAAATCATTTGTATAACACTCACTTAATAAGTAGTGCATTATGTGAATGTTAAATGCAATTTTTCATCATCAACATCAAAGGTATTTCTGAAATAATTTAAATAATACTAAATTATATCATCTAGACCAAACCCATATTATAGATTTTTAAATGTATTAAAGTGGGAATCGATATTGTTTTAAGTCAAATTTTTATTGGTATATTTCAAGTTATTTGATTAGGGGAAAAGTTACCAAGTGTGTACCTAAGTATCTAACGTGGAGATATTTGTTTGTATAACATAGATAATTTTGAGTAATAATTCATCATAGACAATTATTTTTCAAGTACCCAATTAAATGTTAAGTAACTTAGAACTGTATTCTGAAACTTAAAAAATAACAGCTTAAGTAGTTAACATTTAAATACCAAAATTCATAGATTAATTTTTAAACACTAAATGAATGGCCTTCAATTCATTCAACTTTATATTTGAAAAGTTTCAGTATTAATTGTTACAATAAAAATGTTTGATAACTAAATTATTATTTTTATAATTTTAAAAAGAATCATTTTATTATGAGTAAAGCTTAGTAATTAATGAGATAAAATTGACATAAACTTACATATTAATTTTTAAATTATTATTAAATAATAATATATAATAATAGTATACATATAATAAATTTAATTTTACATTATTATTATTATTATTATTATAAATAACATCACAAAATAATTGACTTTTTTGACCGTTGAAATTTATAACTTTCGTTACTAAAAACAGCCATTATTAAATATTCAAAAAAATATAAGTTTATATAATAAGATATAATCTTTAACACTAAAAGAAATATCGATATTTAAGTTAAAAAAATAGTTTATATTTGTCAAATATAAATATTAGCTCTTTCAGCTTCAAAAAAAAGCTAATAAGATATTAGTTTTAATATAATTTTTTTTTGTTTTAATTCTCATTTTTTTTAACTCCATAAGAACATACATGTAACAAAACGCCAAAAAATTGTTTTTATTAAAGATATTGTTCTCTACAAATTTCCTCGTTCCCTATAAATGGTTGAATTTCCCAAAAAACGTTTGAAATCGATAAATTTCCAAATTTTTTATTTAAAACTGCCATAAATTTTTGAAAAATAAATGAATCAAAATAAAATTTTTTTTTTGTAGCTTAAGTTTTTTCTAATAAGTCTTTTCATTTCACTTTTTTTTTATCAGACCCTATACTGCCTGCATAGGGAACTAAAAATAGCAACTTTTAAATAAAAAAATTAATGCTTTCAACTTAATTTTTAAAAATGTTCACGAAATTCCAATTTCTTTATATGTATCTTAAATTAATGCTTACGTGAAGATTTCTTTGTATTGATCAATAACGATATTTACATAAGAAACTTTAGTATGCTGTTTTTATTTGACATGTTTTTTTGATAATCTAATCTATTCTCTAAACAGGATATTCAAAAATAATACGTGCGTATAAAAAATAGAACATTTTCAACTTAACTTTTGTAAATGCTCTAAAAACATTAATGAAACATATAATATATAATTAAATACATGTAAAATATATGTATTTTTGAAAATAAAATAAATGAACTCTAGACTTGTCTTGTGGTGTAATCGGTCATCAAAGTTAAAGAAATCAGTAGGTTTATTTTTATTAATAATCACAATATTCAGAATATTTAAATTAATTGTTGTACAACAATATTTTTTTTGAAACTTTCATAGTGTAGATTGACATCAAAGCTTTTTATGATAGTAGTATTTATCAGAATTCAATCTATAATGAGTCTCTACACTACTTCATCTACACATTATGCTGTGGCTTACCTAATTTGGATTATTACGTCAGTTTAAAAACCTACTTACTCTAAATTTTCATAAAAACATTTTTCCACTATTAAATTTTTACAAAATCAGTTAAATATGAACATAAACACATTAAATATATATATATATATCTTATGGACCTGCTAAGATATTAGCTATGGAATACTACTTATACATTTACATTTTTTTTTTTGATAAAATTCGTAAGATAACAATATACTGAATTGACCTTGTTTGACCTCATCCAAATTAAATTTTTTTGGTGAATAATAGATTTATCTTTCTAGATTATAGTATATTATTATTATATAACATTAAATAATTTGAATTAAACAATATTTTAATATAGTTATTTTATAACTCTACAATAATATTTAATTAAATAGTATATCTTTTTATCCAAGAGAAATAAAAAATCCTTAACTTTAGTTTTCTTTAATAGGAATCCCTATTTTTAGTTTGATTACAAGATAAAAATCAAAAAATCTAAACTTTTTATTCATTTTAATTTTTTCATTCGAACAACAGTTTGCCTTTTAAAACTGTTAAAAAGTTTGGATTTAAAATAGAAATGCACCATTAATTTGGTTTTTAAAATAACCGAGTCAACAGTATTCACTTGGCCATAAATTATCAAGGGTATTGATTCTTGCTATCGTAAATGACAGATATGATATCAATAACTGTCAATAAAAACTAAAAGATATGATAACTACTGTATGATAAATTGCAACTTATCAATAAAAAGTGGTTAAAAAATGCTAATTTTTAACACACAAAATAGAAGAACGCTTAATCGAATAAAAAAATATTATAAGAACAAAATTTGTTGAAAATATTTTTTACATATCATTAAACTAAAATGTAGGAATTCCTACTAAACAAGATTAAAGTTTAAGTTATTTATCCTTAAATAGATGAAAAAACAACTTCTAAATTACATATTATTATAGATTTATTTGAATCAAACAATATTTTGCTTTGGGGAAATTAAAAAATTCGTCATCTTAAGAAAATGATTTTAAAATATCATCTTTGTATATCAAATAGAGGTAATAACTAATTAAAAATAACCGTTAATGAGTTCTCACCATAAACCGACGATATATAAGATTTATATGATCGAGACATAATAACGTAATTTAATAGTTAAACTAAACAGATAGCGCATATCTCCAGCAGATAAAGATATTGACACATTCTGTAATGTCTACACAGAACATTTCATACGCTCAACAATACGTCTACACAAAATCTCTCAAGCTTGTTAGAATAAAAATAAACAATTCAGATTTTATCTACGTGATTAAACATAATATCAACATGACATGTGAATTGTCATTTTGCTATTAGTAAATATTTAAAAACTAAAATTAATTCGTGAGTTATATAATAAACTTGTAGTATAATAATTAATTATTCCTTAATAAACAAAATAGATTTCAAAAAAAAATTTCAGAAAAATTTATAAAACAAAAAATTTAATATGCTTTCTGCATAAAGTGTTACATAAAATTTATGTAAATATTTAATATTTAATTTAATAAAGTATATGTTTTTTTTTTTATGAAAACAATTTTTTTATTTTTTTATTTTAGTTGAATTTAAAATTGGTATGGAATCATTAGAATAAACTAATTATTTTCTTTTTAAATGCATTAGGTATTTACCTAACATTTGATATATTTTTTTTTTGAAAATATGATTCTTTACCTGCCCGGGAAATTCAAAATGATAAATTTTCTACAAAAAATTAATCTTTTCAACATGACTTTTGAAAATACTAAAACTTTTATATATATTTTAAATTAAAGCTATATAATATACTTTAATATAAAAAAAAAATCGAACTTAAGATTGTCTTCGTGGTGAAAATGGCTACATGTATTCAAAAATATGCTATTTTTGTGTTAAAATTCTCGGTTTTGTATTTTATTTTATTAAATTGTTTATTGTAAAATAACAAAATAAATTAGGAAAAATGACTGTAATAATCTTATAAGTGTAAAATAATGTGTCACTATAACAAAAATAATAGTCCTATACATACTGGCATGTTTAGTGTATAACAAAAGTGATCTAACGAAAGAATATTAGCGAGAGAATTTTCTCGGTAACACGACTATTCTTCTACAGATTATTACCGAAGGATATAGTATTACAAAAAATAGATTTAAATAGTTTCTTTAAGAAAATTTCATAAAACTTGAAAATTATTTGAATTTATAAACATTTGTTTTTGGAAAAATCTATCTTACATCATTTATTGTCGTTAAAATGTATCTTATACTTAATAAGCCAGTCTATTTTTTGTGTAATTTTTGTAGAACGTCAATTATTATTGTCTAAAATTATTCTATAATAATAATTTACTACACACATGCTTATTTATATATATATATATATATATATATATCTTAATTTCACTAGAAATTATTGAATAAATTTGATTTTTTCTTCCATTATAAAATTAAAAATGTTTAGTTTGTAGCTACTAGCTACTAGCTAGTTACAACTATAATTTTCAACCAAGTGTTGGAACATTTTAAAAAGAATCTAAAAAAATCGATTTAAAACAGTTTTTAATGAAAAAATAAAGAATTGAGAATCTAATCGGTACCTCAAATTATTATTTATAAACTATGTTACTATGTAAGTTTACGTAGTAACTCGCGCTTTGTTGTGTTAAAATATTAATTATGATATTAATCACGATAATATTGGGTGGTAAAATATTTAAATAGCATAGGATTACAAATCGATACGAAATAATCAAATGTAATGATAAATGATAAATGTAAATGTAATATAATGATATCATATTCATGAGTTTAGAGGTAGTAATATAACGAAAAACTATTCTCNGTAAATGTAATATAATGATACCATATTCATGAGTTTAGAGGTAGTAATATAACGAAAAACTATTCTCAGTAACGGAAATATTCATGAGAATATTTTTTTGTAGATTATAACGTCTTATATAGAATATATAGTCTTATAATAAATTATAATTAAATTTATTAAAGTCTAATTTATTGACTTAAATAATTCCTTTAAGAATGTTTAATCGTACTTGAAAATTATTTGAATATTTATAGAAAATTAATGAGGAAAAAATAATAATCCTTTACTTGGTTTAGAGCTATATGATAGCAAAAATTTTCTAAAAAAAAACATTTGACTTAAAACATGATTTTAAGGGTTCTTCATTTTTTTTAATTTTTATGGTTTTTTAATATTTTATTTGTTGTTCAAAGACTATATTAATAACTTTCCCAAAAAATATTTTAGTCTAGATGCAATCAAAAAATTGTATGTAATTACCAGACTCGATTTGGCCGCTATGTATAAATTAGTGCCTATTATGACCTACATTTTTTTTTTTTTTTGTAGAACATACTATAAAATATAAATTTTAAATTATGTCTATGATGAAGATATAGATGAATAGCTTCATTTTCGATTTTAAACCCGGGACGTTACAAATTATCCAAGCTGGTTAGCTAAGGTTAGAAGTATAAATCTTTAAAACAATTAAATTATTCTGTTTTTTCTAAGTACTTATGAATAATAAGTTATATAAGTCATAAGTATTTATGAAAAATAAGATGAATAAAAAAGAAATAAGTTAAGTTACTATTTATTTAAGACATAATTCACAGCCAGTTTTTACATAGATCCTAGCATTAAAAATAAATATTAATTAATTAAAATAAAGAGATATATAAATTAGAAAATTTCGATAACTATATTTTATAAGTAACTCTTTGAAAAATATTTCAGTAATTATAACGTTTCTTCTCACCAATTTTTAAAACTGAAATATAGTAACCCAGCTTATACTTATATTATTTTATAATTCATAAAAATTACGCAAGAAGAAAAATATTAGAATTTAGAATAGTATGAAATTAACTCATTTTTTTACTTGTGAAAATAGTTTTCAGTATAATTACCTAATAAACTATTCATAGTGTTAATCAATGAACCAACATACTGTGTAAATAATTTTATTGACTCATGAGAGGTCTATCATAAATTCAAAACTAAACCGAAGTTTTATCTAACTTACATGTCTTATTAATTTATGTGTGAACTATTAATGAAGATTGACTTTGTATATTGAATATGAAAAAATCGTAAACATTAAAAAAAGAAAACAAAAATAATTGTTTTTGTAACTCCTTATAGCATAAAGTTTATTATGTGGTAAAAAATACTTCATTATGTTTAATTAATAAAATACATGTCATGATTTATCTTTACCTTATAGTAGTTTGTTATTAATACCAAATATTTCCGTGACATAAGTAATGGAGTAGATTTACCTTAATTCTGTATGGCACTGGGCCATTTTTAAATCTAAAAGTTCTCTAGGCCTGGCCCTCAAATAAATTTAANAGATTAACTTTGTATAATAAATATGAAAAAATTGTAAACATTAAAAAAAGAAAACAATATAATTGTTTTTGTAACTCCTTATAGCATAAAGTTTATTATGTGGTAAAAAATACTTCATTATGTATAATTAATAAAATACATGTCATGATTTATTTTTTCCTTATAGTAGTTTGTTATTAATACCAAATATTTCCGTGACATAAGTGATGGAGTAGATTTACCTTAATTCTGTATGGCACTGGGCCATTTTTAAGTCTAAAAGTTCTCTAGGCCTGGCCCTCAAATAAATTTAAACAGCACATTTTAAAAAATAGTGTATTGGCTTGTGCATTTTCATTTATTAATACATTTTCATAATTATTTAAATCGTTTTCGTATTCTAAAAATAATAATTGACTGGTTTAAAATAAGTTAATACTCTTATCTCAATAAATAGAATAAATTATTAGAAATTTGTTAAAAACATCGACAGAGCATAATAAATTTTCAGTGAGATCGTTTTTTCTAATCAATATTTATAATAAAATTTACAAATTTTATTACTTATTTACTAACAGATAACCATTATAATTGGAGAGATAAAAATAATATCAATAAATAAATTTATAGTTTAGTTACAAAAAACATTATTGGTAGATTTTTTGAAATATTTTAGACTTTTATCTACATTTCTAATAAAATAGAACCTTAAAAACAGTGGCATTTAGTATATAAACCTGAGTTAAGATGTGCAGGTTAGTTTGCTGCTAATATTTCAAAAAATAAAAGATAAAACAATTGAGTCGGGTTAAAAAAAATTACGTCATAATATTATTTCCATAAGCTACATATTAATTTTTATTAATATTAGTGAACAGTAAATTTTTTTATTACATTTATTTTTATCGTAATTTTTATAAAGAAAATAAATAACAAACGGAAGTATCAGTTTCACTTAAAGTAAGAAAAATAAGTAAAATTTTAACAGAGAAATAAAATTACTTCATCAAGATAGATACTTATATTAAATATCATTATGTATTTTGACAGACAATATTTATTTTTATAAAAAAAATTCTTTTATATCATTATTAACCAAACAAAATAAATACAATGAACTTTGACTAATTTTAGTTCCAATGTGTTAGTTCCTCACTCGTGTGAACCACGGTAATACTTCTAAACCCGCTGTGTAATTATATATCCATTTCCTACCATTAATTAAAGATCCATTGGGATTATTTTCGTCTTTCCATTTACCGGCTGGAAGATAAATGTTTCGTTTTATAGCATTTTGAACCATGATTGGAGCAACGAGAATGTCTTCACCCAAAAGAAATTCTGAAACATATGTTTTAGTTATTAATTTATTATTTACAAGCAAATGTTTTTCGATTATAGTTCACCGTCATCGATGTAGAAAGCCGTTGTATCAGTTGGGTCGATCCACCATATAGGAGGGTTAACTGGAGTACCAGTGCTCACAGCATTTTCCATCAATTGCACAATAAGATCTGCATATTTCTGGTGAAGATCCATAAACTTTTTGCAAATACTATTCGTCTATTTCCATAAACAATTTGATAATAGTATATGAATATTTTGATATATTTGTAAAATAGACATATTAACTTTGCTTGTTAAGTTATTATTGTTTACATGAAATTTTTTAATTTAAAATATTTAGTGATAAAGAAATAAAATTTCTTTAAAATTAAAAAAAAAATTTATTAATAAAAAGAGTAGTAATAATCATCACATGTAAAAACAAAAGAAAAAAGCCTAATCAATTCCTCAGAAATTTTTTATACGAATGTACTGCTAATAAATCTTTTATTGTTATACACTGTGTACTATTAAGGTTATTCAATAAGTAAGGAATAGGTTTTCCATTGTTCCCATTATTCCTCACAATTTACCAGTTTTCTTACATTTAATATACCCTGTTCAAAATTAATATATATATATATATATTAATGAAGTTGACTGGCGCTTTAGAAAATTAACCCAACCCACTTTATTGACTTAAATTTAAAACTTTACTTAAATCCATTATTAGTATAATAATAATAAATAAGAAGAAACTAGTAATACTCTTTCATTGTAATCCCAAGGAGTCAACGAAAACTGAACCGCTGGCATAAAAGTGTTAGCTTGCATCCATCTGATAAACAATTCATCTGACACTGTATCATTTCTATATGCATTTCCTCCAATCATGTCAGGTAAAACAAAAGGATAACCAATCATATTGAATTGAATCAAAGTAGTTACAAGTGTAGGTAATCCTAACTGCCAGTCCCATCGCGAATTTCTATCGTTCATTCGTACAAAACGTCCGTGTTTTTGAACTTTTCTTGCTGTTCTATACTCTATTCCATTGCCAAATTCGTTTATAGTATCGATGTATGCATTTACAATATTGTCAGGAAAAAATGTGAGATCCTTATCGTAGTACACAGACGATGGTGGTCCCCTTCATAAAAATTATATTTTTAAGTTATAATAAAAATGCTTAATCTCTTAATTAATGTATACATTAATTCATATATTTTTATTTCATTACACAGCAGTTTTCACTCTCTAGAGCATTTTAAGTAAAAATTATTTGATTTATAGATAAATATACCAAAAATCAGATACTGATACATTAAATATATAATTATGGTCAGAATAAATATAAAATGTGTTGACAGCATTATATATAATATTATATTTATATACAAATAGTTAACTTCACATACCAACTTGATTCTCCAGCATCAAACTTTAGTGTATCAATACCAGTCTCAACAAGTAGTTTTTTAAGTCTTCCTGACCACCAATCTCTAGCAGAAGGATTAGTAAAGTCTACCAAAGCAGCAGCACCATTCCACCAAGCTGTTTCAATAGAGCCAGTTGTATTTTTCACAAAAAAATCTTTTGTTTTAGCAAATTCATATGATTCACATTGTGGACTAATAAATGGATGAGTCCAAAGAGAAACTTTAAAACCTAAAGATTCTATATAAATAATACGAGTGTTATTAAATACTTGGTAAATACAATCTTTGTAATTATGACTATATTGAATAAATATCATTAAATTGCTAATTTCAATAATAATCGACTAAAATAGAGCTTAAGGATTAATTACTTTTTTCAATTTGTTTTCAATATTTAAAAAATAATCTTAGCTTATAAATAAAATATTTTTTTACTTTACATCAAAACTATTATTCCTACAACAAACATGTAGCCAGAATTGTATGGGATCTATAATCCATGGACTTCCTCTAAATACACGAATATTCTGCTCTCACATAAAGCAAGCAAATTAAAATTGGTGGACAATTTCAAAAACTTTATGGAAGAAAAATAAGCATAACCATTTTAATTTTAGTATTGGAATAACTATTTTTTGTTTGGTATAACGTATCGTAGACTTAATATAATAATAAGAAAAAAAATTTCAACTTACTCAGTTCTTTTACAAGTTGTTTCACATCAGGAAATTTATTTTTATTAAAAATTGCACTACCATAACATGTTTCCCAGTCATCATCAATTTCAAGTTGTCCTCGAGGATAAGCACTCTTCACAATTTGATTGGCATAATCTAAAACCGTTTTAGTATCTACATTTTTTTTGTATTTGGCCCATGTAGACCAAATAGGATTTTTTATTAAATATGGATCTGGTATAGAAATAGGTTTCCCCAAAATATCATTAACGGCGTTTTCATGTGCTACTCTAGCATTTTCATATTTGCATACACGAAATTTCAATCGATTTTCTTTTTTTCTGTACGGTGGTTTTACTTTAGATATGAAACATAATTTATTTTTAGATGTCGGTCCATTCATATCCAAAAACAAAGGGACAGACTCATTCACATAAATGTAAAATCCGTTTGAGTTTAAGAAGTATGATTCTATTACCTATAAAGCAATAAATGTTTCCAAATAAATAAGTTTACATGTATCGAACTTTCAATAAAATACAGCTTGGTAATATTTTTCNTAAGTTTACATGTATCAAACTTTCAATAAAATACAGCTTGATAATATTTTTCAACTATTTCGTCAGTATCTCCTATCGTAACATATGACAAATCATTCCATTCATATTTATTCAATGGCCACATTTGACGAAACTGCTCTGGTCCACCAAACCATGCACAATCTCCAATATCAATACAAACTTTTAAAACGTCGTCAATACTTTCTGCTAGTAGTTCGAAGTCAATGCACTCTTTTTTAAAAATATTGTATTGAATATGATACGCATCTCTTGATGATGCATTACCCGTTTTGCGTTCTTCACCAACAACTAATCTCAAATTTATACCATTTGAATTTTTTACCCCTATGAACAAAAATTAACTATTTATACATTCATTTCGATATAAAATGAAATTTCGTATAAAAATTGTTGTCGAATACGAGTATATATAACTATTTTATCTTTTAATTATAAGAAATTAGCAATAAAACAAAATTGAAATAGCTCCTAAACTAACTGCAATACACTAACACAAATGTATTTCAGTACAAAAATGATTCTAATATTTAAATAATTCGTGAAGATATTTAATCAAAACAAACCATTGGCCATACATTTTAAATAAATTCATCTTCCTGAATCTATTACTGAGCTTATCAGTTAAGCCTGGTTTTTGTTGAAAACTTAAACACAACGATCAGCTTATAAAAATAGTATATAAATAACTTGATTAAATTTAACTAATGCAAAATTTTTCTCACCATTCTTTTCCACTTTGAGTTCATGTTGCAAATTAGAAGACAAAATAAAAACTTCTTTTGATTGTATATTCACACATAACAATAATTGAGTAGCAATAAAAACTATAACAAAAAATATAGTTGCATAAATATTATTGTATTTTTAAATCGCTTACTTGTATACAACAATTATAATAAATGTGTATAAATAATAATGCTTAAGTCATAATTTTACTGGCCTAATAATTTTACCATTATTGATTACATCAAAATTAATAAATCGATTAAATAACCTTAAATACTCGAGAAAAAATGAAATATTTTTATGATTACCTAATGCACCATACATATTTTTTGCTGATTTAGTTAGTAGACTGATAAAAATTAACTACTGCCAGAAATTATTCATGCTCAAGTTATTTATTCTAATAATCAATACTTGATGAATCAATTCTAAAAAAGTAAATATCAATTAAGTGTTATGTAATTATATTTTGTCACGAGAAGTACCAAGTATTTTGTTTATACATTTATATAAATTTATTGTAATCTTTATATTGCTATTACTACATTAAATATTTTAAGTGGCTATTCGCCAATCAATAAGAATTTTATTTATAATAATTTTTTTCCAGTAGTGTATTTACGGGGAGGGGTCATGAGGTCAGAAACCTCTTTTTCGAAAAATTTTAATAGTATTTCAACATTTATTGACATTTTTATACCTATGCGGAAGAAAAGGTGCGATCGAAAAATCTTTGATGATAAATATTGTAATACCCTCGCTTCACTTCCAATCTATATTTTAAAAAGATAATTATTTCCGAAATAATGGGCCTAAAGTTATTATCGACCAGTTATTTTTTTAATTAGATCATTTTCTATTTAATTAGCTAGTTCAATACATATGTTGCCATTAAAAAAAATCAAGTTGATACGCTTATAAAATATAAGGGATGGACCAAAAAATAACACGTTTTTATTCAAAAGAATAAATAGAAGTACATATGTAACTAACAAAATCCGAAAAAAGTATAAAAAATTATTATTTTAGCATAAATTGAGTAGCTTATGATATAATAATCACATTGAAAGACGTATTGTCCAAACTAATTAAGTATCTAAATAATAGAAATCTGTTTTTAAATCTAACACTAAGGTCTCAAACTTTACATAGAGAGACTTTGAAACTAAAAATAAGTAAGCAGTCTATATTTATGTATTAGATTTATATATTTACGTCGAAGACAATGAGAATATTCAAACTAATGGTAGATATACTGTTCACAAAATATTCGAAAAATGTCATAAAAATACTAAATTGATTTTTAAAAATGATACCCCCATATTTTCCCTAAATAATAATTTTTCCAAAAATTTACAAATTAAATTTTTTTTAATAATATAAATCATTATAATAATTAAGATTATTGTAAGAAAAAAATATTTCTAAGATTAGATTTTAGAAGTACTTTCGGAGTTAAATGGCAACCTATTGTTATTTTTTTATTATTAAATGAAGAATAATTTAAATAAAATTTGGATTGGTCGATAATCAGTTTTATATTATTACTTATGAATTAATATAATTTTTTATTATAAAATAATTTTTTTACAATAAACTTGATTCGCTATGGTTTATAAAAATAAACAAAATTTTAATTTGTATATTTACATAAATGTTATACGTTAATAATTTAAATGTATAATAATAATTCATGTAAAAATGTGTAATATTTACTTGTTGTAGTAATGGCATAAAAACAATAGTTGTTTTATGGTAATGGTAGTACCCCAATTTAATTTTGATAAAACTAATTATTATCGTGAAATGATAACAAGAGGGTTACACGATTAGTTATCAGATAAAATTTTTACAAAAACATGAGGAATTGTCCAAAAGTTCTATTTAGTGTATTTTATGGAATAAAATGCATTTTTATGAATTATTTAATATACATGAATTATTAATATAAATAAAATAGATGATAAAGAAATAGCTAATCATAAAATATGTTTAACATTCACAAAAAATAGTATCAAATAAATCATTTAAATTCTTACAAATAAAAAAAATGTTAAATTCAGTTAAAAAATTTAATTTTAATGTGTAAGTCAAAATAAGTTTTATTATCAATGCATTAATGAATTTCATTTATAATATTTCAAATAAATCCAATATTTCAGTTATAGTTTTTTTTTACTTATTCAATCTAAATATTTTATATACACTTTATTTTTAGAATTGGTAAAGCAGTTAAAGTTTCTGAGTTACGAGTATATAACTGTAATTTTTTCAAAGCTAACATATGTTCATCATTAATATTAAGAAAAAAGCGTAAAACTAAGGAGGAAAAAGTATGTATCCATGTTACAAATAAATATTAAAAGTTTTATTTTATTTTATTTATGGTAATTTTTTGGTTATTAAATCCAATAATTTAATTTATCTATTTTAGAAATTAGTTACACCACACATTTTTGAAATTAAACCAAAGGAAAATAAAGTTATCGATATTTGGAAATATATGACTATATCTGATCTAGCAAAAGCTACTGGAATACCAATTGGTTAGAAATAGTTTTACTAAAAATTTTAATTAAATCCAAGTTTAAATAAATCTAATATTTTTATTTAATTTCAAGAATTATATATACATTTTTATTTACTATTGATAATGATAATCTATAAATTTGGTTTACAAGTATCAAATTATACTATGTCTGAATACACAATTTTTCAGACAATCACTTATATTACTGTTATGTTAAAAAAATCAAGTAATATATTTTTTTAAAATTTATAATTGCTACCAATGCAATATTTTTTAGATAATGTATTGGATATCATGGAGTATGTAGAGGACTCTGAAATTTATTCAAAACCTGAAAGTAGGTTTGAAAACTTATCTTTACTTCGACAAGTTGTAAAAAAATGTGGATATAAATGTAGAATGGTGTCTAATCCTAACACGATAATCAAGTCAAGAGATTATCAACCTAAAGATGCTTTTAAAAGGTAAAATTAGCATTATAAATCATTTTATGATTACTTTTTTATATTTAATTTTATTATTAAACAAATAAGTTAGTCAAGTTATATATTAGCTTTGATGTATACATAGGCATATATAGTATTTTGAACATGGGAGTGCTCAAGTTTCAAATACCAAAAAACTTTCCACATCATATTAAAAAAAAAATAGCAATTTTTTACACTATAATATAAAGAATTATTTTTATTTTCCTTACAAAATTTTAAAATATGATGAAAACTACTTAGGATCTCAATGTTATACTAGGGATGATAAGTAGACAAAGCATCCCTCATTTAGACCTATGGATGTGTAGCTGACAATATATTGGTTTTTCTCTGCTGTGTTAGTTAATCAAATTGATCAACTCATACTGGATTGATTTTTATCATTGATATTTATATAGATCATTATTCTTTTATAATGCAAGAATATTGTAAAAGAATATCTACATCATTCTAAACTAATTAAAATGAACAATTTTTTACTGTGCAATAGGATTAAAGAAATATGTTCCGAGGTCTTGTCTTCTATGAGTAATTGACTTTTATTTGAGAACCATGCAGTTTTTAGTGGAAATGATACTTTTTTTTTTATTTAAACAATTATATTTTTTTGAAGTGCAACAAAGTATTTTATGACATTGACTTTAATTGCAGTCAGATATCAATCAACACTAATGTAAAATATGTCTCAACTCCACTGCGCTGAATCTCTAATGCATTTGATATTTTTCTTCATATGTATCAGTATTATCAATCATTTTTAAATTTGGAACTTAAATTTAATATAGACCTCCAGCTTCATACACCTCTACAATATGCAGACATCCTGTTGTCACAATAATGGGTCATGTAGATCATGGAAAAACTACTTTATTAGATAAACTGAGAAATTCTTCTATTGCAAAATCTGAATTTGGTGCCATTACTCAGCATATTGGAGCTTTTCCAGGTATTTTTAGTATAAATACAAGTTATGAAAATCAAACGAATATTTGATAACTTAAAATTTTTCATTAATAATGTATGATATTGTATTTTAGTTATATTAGAGAATGGAAAAAAAATAACTTTTTTGGATACACCTGGGCATGCTGCTTTTGCTACAATTAGAAGTCGGGGTGCTCAAGTTACAGATATTGTAGTATTAGTAGTTGCTGCTGATGATGGTGTAATGGAACAAACTATAGAATCTATAAGAATGGCGAAGAATGCTAAAGGTAAAATATTACATTTTAATGAAATAAAAATTAAAAAGAATTTTTATGGTTCTTGGTTAAAAATTTAACAATCTGTTAAAAAGTAATAATGTTTTTAAGATGTGTTCATATTTATATAACTTTTATATACTAATTTTAAATATTAATTCTACTCCCCAATAGACTTGACATTTAATCAATTTATAATATAAGATGATTGTTTAACTATGACTTGTGCAATATTTTTAAAAATATATAACATAACACATTTTTTTCAAAAATGTATAATATGCTATACACTGTAATTTAAAAAAATTATTTTTATTCTATTCTCCCGCCATAACATTTTATCAATTTAAACTTTTTAAATGAGTCTTTCAATGGTCGTTAATTACTATTAAAAAAACTTAAATTATTAAACTTTTAAGGGGCAGAACAAAATTTTATTTTTAAAAATTATAGTTATTATAAATTTTTGGAAAAAAAAAATACATTATGCAAGTATGTGTTAATGATATTGCATTAATCATAGTTAAACTATCACTCTACATATAATTATTATCCAAAATTAAATTTATTTATTTTTCATTTTAGTGCCTATTATAGTAGCGATTAATAAAATAGACAAGCCAACGGCTAATATAGTAGGTATATTTTATAAATGTATATAATAAAATATTCACTTATTTTAAATTACAAAGGAACGTTGTAAGAAAATGCTACAAACTCAAGGGGGACTTGATCTAGAAGAATTTGGTGGAAGTGTTCAAGTAGTACCCATATCTGCTTTACATGGAACAAATTTTGACAACTTAATTGAATCTATTTTAACCCAAGCAGAAATTTTGGATCTTCGTGCTGATCCTAATCCTCCAGCTGAAGGTGTCATTATAGAATCAAAAGTTGATTATAGTAGAGGGTTAGTTATACTTTTTTAACACTTCAAAACTATTAAAATTTATATGAATACTTCTGAAATTTAATTAATGAAAAAATAGATTCTCAAATAATTAAATTCAAGTATAAAATTATTTATTCATCAAATATTTCTCACATAAACTGTTTATTGTATGTGATACATATTCAAGAAAAAATATATTATCTTAGTAATATTCATTTAAAATCAAAGACTAGAGAATATTATATTTAAACTGATATGGTTCATCTCTATAGTATTTTATTATTATATTGATTTTACATTATTATAACTTTTCATATAAAATATATAGTGTATGAAACTGTAATTTTTATTTTTTATTATTTTAATTAAAGAAAAAGTTAGTTTAGTTTTCACTAAAATTTGTTAGATTTTTATTTGATGTTTATTTTTTTGTTGTTTCATCTTTAGGAAAATTGCTACAGTTCTTATTCAGCGTGGTAAACTTCTAAATCATAGTATACTTGTGGCTGGTACTACATGGGGAAAAGTTAGAGCTATGTTAGATCACACAAATAAAGTAATTCAAGAAGGAAATCCATCAGATGCAGTTCAAATTCTAGGATGGCGAGATTTACCACAATCTGGCCAAGAATTTTTACAAGTTTCCTGTGAGGTAATAATATTGAAATATTTCAACTACAATAAAAAATTAAAAAATATTGTTTAGTTTTGTTTTTTGAGTGTAACAGAGTATGAAATAAAAGTAAATAAGTATAGAAAAACAATTAATGAACATATTTAAAATCAAAACAATTATTTCTAATTGTCAATTTTTTTCAAACATGTTAAAATTATTTATTAAAGATAATTAATCTTTATTTAGAAACGAGCACGTGAAGTAGTTGAATATAGAATTCAAAAGACAATTGAAGAAAAACAAAAGGAGGACAGTATTCAAATACAATCTAAAATAGAAGAACATAATAAAGTAAATATTAAATAAAAGTTATACAAGATAATATTTTTATATTATTTTTAGGATTACAAAACTCACCTTGAAGAAAAAAGAAAATCTGGAATTTACAGAAGAAGAAAATTTAGTACTATGTATCAAGAAAAACAGATAGAAAATAAAAAAAATAATAATAAAGAAGATATTTACCTAAGTATTATTATTAAAGGTGAGTAGATTTATTTGATTAAGTTTAAAATTTTAATTCTTATTCTATTGTTTAAGGTGATGTCATAGGATCTGTAGAAGCAATTTTAGATGTATTAGATACTTATGAAAGTAATTTATGTAAACTTGACATTGTTCATTATGGAATTGGTAATGTTAGTATAAATGATATAGAATATGCTGATGCTTTTAAAGGTATTTTTTCTAAATGTTTATAAGACAGTAGTAATATTTTTAAATGTTCACACTTTTAGCTATAATTTATGCATTTAATGTTGAAACATTGAGGGATGCATTTGAAATAGCAAAACAGACGGGTATCACTATTAAACAACATAACATTATCTATAAGTTAATTGATGATATTAAAGAAGAAATAAACAATTGTTTACCTCCAATTAGTGTGGAAGATGTACAAGGTATTTATTAATTATTTAGTTTAATAAGTTAAAGTAAAATATTTTATTTTGATACTTCCATTACTAAACATATTTAGAAATCATTTCTTTGGTATATCTAACAAGATGTTGATATAAGTTAAATATCTTTTTAAATACTATTTTTATTGTTAATGAATCATAAAAATATACATTTATATTAATTTAAATAATAAAAAATGTATTGAGAACCTTAAATTATAAAAAATTTAAAAAAACACTGTGAATTATTTTATTAACAATACAGTAATCTTCCTTCTCTTGCAGTGTCATATCATTATTTCAATAAACTTAACAGTTACTCATTTTTGAGGGAAACTTTATTTTACCAAGAAGTTTTGTTTATTATTTTAGTACACTGTGTGTACATAATGTAATCCCAAGGATAAAATAATAAAATAAATTCTTACTCAATAGGCGAAGCTGATGTGTTACAAGAATTTCTAATAAATGAAAATAAGAAAAAAGTTCCTGTTGCAGGTTGTAGATGTACTAGTGGGACTTTAAGAAAAAATGCTCTGTTTAAAGTTATTAGAAACCCTGACACTGTAGTCTATCGTGGTTTGTAATTCTTTTAATGATAGTATTAAGAAAATAATACATTATGAGTTTAATTCTGTATTTATTCTAGGTAAATTATCATCAATGCGACATTTGAAAGATGAAGTAGCTGCAGTAAAAACAAACATGGAATGTGGTCTTCGACTAGAAGACACTAGTATTAGGCTTAGTCCTGGGGACAAGATAATATGTTACACGCTAAGAGACCAACAACAAAATATAGACTGGGAAACTGGTTTTTAAACAAATGAACTGTGATCTTTGTTTTCATACTTTTTAGAATTGTTAACTATTAAATTTTTGTAAATTATATATGAAAAATATATATATAAATTTATTTATTTATTTATATAGGATTAAATAGGATAAATGTAAAAAAGTGAGGTAAATTAAAATATATTTTTAAAATGAGATATACAAATGTTTATTTTTTATTTATACTTTTAAAAGCAACTATATAATTGAGGATTGTTTTATTTAAAATTAAATCTATTGAATATTTTAAGTGGAATAATCAATTTACATTTGCCCCACTAGACCCTATTAATATAATCTAAATTATGTGCAAATGAAATATTTGTATTACAAAATAGAAAAAGTAACTATTTGTTGAATTAAAAACTGTTGAAATAGTATAACTAAGTTTCTATTAAAATGTGGATCAAAAACTTGCTACTTTTCACTAACAATAGAACTATTTTTAAAAATAATTTCAATTTAGTAATAATAATGTTTTTTTTTTTTGTGTAGCTTTATTAATTAGTATGTCGAAATAAAATTATATAAATTTTATAGTGATATAACGCCTATGTTTACATACATATAGGTTGCATGGAGCGTACCGAACGTGCCTAAGCACTACTTGAAATTTATTGGGGACATAGTAAAACTTATAATTACATTTAGTATCTACGGTAAAAACTGAGCAGATCTAAACTTTTAAGTGAAAGAATTAAGATATACTTTGACATTTTGCTTGAAACATCATATTATAGATTAGTCAGAAATATAATTACATAATAGATGAAAGACTATAGTAAAAAGTATATTTATCTTATCGTGTTGGGTTTGGTTTGGTTGGGTTTACTATTACAGTTTATTAGTATTATCACAGACTAGATGAAAATTTATATATTTTTAGATAATTTGTGGTTTAATGAGGATTAGACTTTTTACTATAGATGAGACGGATAATACGAAAGTTTCACATGGCTATGGTTATAACCAAGTGAGTCACTCATACCTGTTATCAAATTATCAAAAAACTTAATTTTATCGAATGCTGATTGGATCTAATCATTTTGAATGCACTTGGTTATAACACAGATTAAATAAAATCTAATCTATGGTTATAAATTATACGTGGTTATTTTATGTTAAACATATTATTCAATTGACGGTCGGTGTTAAGTATTCATTATTAAATAACTGCTATTGTCTCATGTAAACATTTAAGCAGTTGAAATCAAAAGTGAAATATTACTGAAATTTTATTTCTAAATTAATTAAAGTTAATGATATAGTTCTTACCACAAAATATCTATTCAATTTCATCTCGTTCAAGTCTGAATTGTTCATTTAAATTTTATCATCATGAGCCTTCAATGGACAATAATTGCAACATTTTTGTACTTCGAGGTAGGAGTTTTATTACTCTTCATGATTCCATATATGTCAGCTCAACGTTGGAATAAGTTATTCCGGTCACGGTTTTATCAGGCTTTGAGTGCTCAGGCTCAATGGTATTTCACATTTTTACTATTTGTTCTTGTTCTTTTCTTATTAGACTCTATACGTGAAATGCGTAAATATTCTAATCCAGAATTAACTGATGCTCATCAACATCTTGATCATGAAATGCAAGCTAATATGCGATTGTTTCGAGCACAACGAAATTTCTACATTAGTGGAATTGCCCTTTTTCTGAGTTTTGTGATAAAACGTTTTATTGCTTTAATGACATTACAAGCATCATTATTAGCACAGAGTGAAGCATCCTTAAAACAAGCAAAAAGTGCCAGTGATGCAGCTAAATCGTTAATGTCCAAAAAAGATAATGGAGATGGAGAGTCAAAAGAATTAAAAAAATTAAAAGAAGAACTAGAATCTATTAAAGCTGATAGAGATGCCATAAAAAGCCAAGCCGAATCAGTTTCTAAAGAATATGATAGACTTTTAGGTGAACATGAAAAATTACAAAAGACTGTTGAAAAAGAGTCAAAGAAGGATGATTAATATTTTTATTTTAACTTAATTACTTCAAATATTTAGAAAAACTATATGTTATAACTTAAATACATATTAGGTTTGAGAACTTTTATGCTTTTGGTATAAATTAGTTTAAAAAAAAGTGAATTAATTTGTAATATATACTAACTGGAGAGTGGTTTTAAAAATATTGTGAAGTTTTATATAATATGTGATTTGTTTTGTTAATAAATAATTTATTTTGTCACTGATAAATAATTTAGTGTATTTTTTTTTTAAGTTTTTCTTACAATTATTTAAAGAACATGAATTTAGTATTTTAAATATTTTTTGCAGTTATTACTTAGTCAGTTATGCAACTACTGAGGGTGCTAGTCTTAAGTACCTTCCTTAAATTTCAATACCTATAATTCAACTAAGTCTTTTTATTTATAAAGATTTGTATCAGTTTTTTTCTATGTACATTTTTTTTCCAAATAAAATCGTTATTTTAGGTAAACTTATATTTCAATATTAAGCTACCAATCAACCACAATTGTACTGGGTTTATAGAAATCTATATACCGTCATCACTAATACAGCAATCTTTATTTTTGTAAGGTGTAGCCTATACGACTTAGTAATTCTTAAGCAGTTTTAGCACCCCCTGTTATTTTATATAATTACGCCACTTATATATAAACTGCTAAATTATATAAATATAACTGCAAATACAATTTTTGTTTTAATTATTCTGAATACATAAACAAGAGATACCCATTTTAATTGTATTCTTTACAATTAAGCATTTTATTTTAACTAGTATCAAAGATATGGTTAAAGTTTATTTCCCTATAACGACTAAATATTTTTATGCTTACGTATAGTAATAATAAATGTACAATAAGGGCACTGATTATATAAAAATATATTTTCATTTAGTCTGTGAAAAGACTGAATAGTAGGGATACGTAGTTAATATACTGATGAAGCCCCGTTTCTTTTTTTAAATCTAATGTATTTAAATACTATTTATATATATATTTATTTTGAATGGTGAATATGCTGCTTTTCTATAAACCTTTGGTTTAATTCAGAAATTAGATTACATTTTTTTTTGATGTTATAAAATTTTTTTGTTAAATGTTTTTAATATTAAAACTTATTAATCATTTTTCCATCAAGGGTTTATTGTTACTACATTTTTACATTAAACGTTAAAAGGGTCGAAAAATCATTACTATAAGCAATTTAAAAAAAAAAGGCAAATGAGACTTTTTTCTTACATAGAATTTTTTTAAATGTAACATTTAAAATTAAAATTATTTTTGTTTTAATAAGTGTATACAAATAGTACAATAACTGTAATTTTTTGGGATATTTCATTTTAATACCGAAATTGTAGGAATTTGTCAAAATTACAACGCTGATGGATTCACATAAAAACGTTTTGTTTTTTTGACGTACATTGTTAAACGTCAAAAATATTCAGTTACGCATCAAAGTGCAAAATATGAAAAAGAATAATTAATGAAAGTAAATTCTAATAGTCAGCTGGGGTAGACTAGCCACGGGGGCGATTATGCCTTGGGCCGCTATTTACAGAACAATGAGAGCCGCTATGATTAGGTGTATTTCAATTGTAAAAAAATGTTAAGTTGATTTTTGAGATTTTTTTTTTATTGATCATTTCTTTTTATTAAGTAATGCAAATATTTTTTGTAACGAACTGGACCTCAACAATTATTGTGCCCTGGGTCTTTGGCCTCCCAGTCCGCCCTTGTTACTTAAGTAGAAAAATTTATTTTTTTCATTTAAATTAAACATTACCAAACACATCATTTTGTTTTATTTAACTTTAATTTTATATAGTTGTATTGTACTAAAAATTATTCTGATTAAAAGGAACTAGGCCAATTAAAATCTTCCAAAAAATTAATGAGTTTGAAAAATTAATTAAATCCAACTTAATTAAATTAAAATTATTTTAACTTATTAACACAAGGGCTTGTTCTTATCATGACAATCAAATTTAAGGTGCAAATTATACTCTTAAAAACTCACAAAATGAAAAATATTTCATTATAAGTCAGTAAGTAAAAGATATAACAAGATATCTACTATTAATATACACCATATTAATTGAGGTAGTCAGTCAAACATATTGTACTGATTAAGCCTCCAAATTTTAATCAGTGATGCTCAGTTTTCTTTTACAGAGTGTTTAGTAAGTAAGGATATGGGTTTCTATTGTTCTCATTGTTTGTAACAATTGACCTGTTTCCTTACTTACATACACCTTAACACCTATATAAAAATAATAATAAAATAAAAATGTATTACATTAGAACAGCATTAAATAATTAATATAATACTTAAAATAAAATAATACAACTCTTTTATAAAATAAATGTTCATAATAACATAAAATTACATAAAAATTCAATCAATTAAATTTTATAAAATGATATACTTTAAGGAGCAGCGCTAAAATCCAAAGTTAAGTTGCCATCTTTATCTTTTTTACGGATCCTACCATCTGAGTATTTAGTCTCTTGTGATCCATCTGAATAAATAATTTTAGTCGTGCCATCAGGAAATATTCTCTTCTATAACAATGCAATAATTTTTTAAGTTATATTATAAAAAACATTAATATAGCTTGAACTTACTTTATACTCATTGGTATGTATTTCTCGTTGTCCATTCTGAAATACTAATTCACGACACCCATTTGAATTTATAGTTAAACATGAACCATCTAAATAATTCCATATTTCTTTACCATCCGGATAAATAGTATGTTTTTTACCATCCACATATTCAATTTCTATTGTGCCATTTATATAATGTTTTTCAATTTGTCCACTTATATGATACAAAAAAACAAAAAATGTAAAAATATTTAACATTATTTAAAATTGTTTAATACTCACTTAGGAAATTCAATTATTTCAAGACCATCATTAAACGTTGTATGATAGGTTTTATTTTCAGAAAAGTAATAACGCTCAGAACTTTCATTTGTTTCTTTTACATCGCCATTGTAATAAATAGTTTTAATAGTCTTGCCATCAGCAGATATTTTTTTGAAATTACCATTTGAATATAATATCTCTTTACGCCCGTCATCAAGCACTGTCTCACGTATAACTCCAGAATCACTATTATAATCATCAATTTTAGTCAAATTATCACTGTTTCCAGTCAATATATTTTCATTTGATTGACTGCTATTAGAGGAATTATCTTCAGATGATTCGTAAGATTCAGTTAATTTTATGGATGGTTTTCTTAGAATTGATGGAGGTACTTTTTTTGACCTAGGATCAACCATCGATGAAACATCATCTAGTGTAAGTTTACTAATTTCATTATTTACATTATGAAGAATTTTTGTATTTCTCATAGCTTGTTTTTCTATAGAAGATTTAAAGGTTACCTGAAAAATAGAAATAAACATTAAAAATAACACTTAAAATAAAAGTTAGTGATTTATCAGATCCATGAATCTAATTTATTCTAAATTATAAGTCTATATTATTAAAACGTAAATAAGTTATTATAAATCATATAATCTATGTAAATAAAAGCAGTTTTATTTAGTTGTTATGAAACACAAACAATTTGTAAAAAATAGAGAAAAAATAAAATGTATTCATAAATAGTAAAATAGTTTAAGTATATTATTTTAATTTAAAAATATGATATTAATTTAAGTTTTTATAAGCTATAAAACTATGAATATTACATGTGTGTAAAACAACTGAAATAAATTTAATTTATAAGTAAAACATAGCTTACTTTTTTATTTAATGATGCTTTTCTCACTAGTTCTAGCTCATTTTTAAGAGCAGTATTAGCGTTTTCTAAAACTTTCATTTGGTTTCTCAATCGAGCTTGACCTGCTGCCCAACGAGATTCTTTTTTATTTAATTCTTCTTTTAGTTCTGCCAACTAAAAAGAAAATATATATAAGAACTTAATAACAATTTAACTAAACAATAAAGAATACATTAGAAAAATTTCAACCTGTTCTTTTAGTGTTTTGATTTCTTCTCTTTCTTGTCTAGTAGGTCTATTTTTTAACTCTCTAGAGTTTTTTTCAAAAATAGCTTTCTCTTTAGCAAATTTTTTTTTTTCTTCAGCTAACTTTTCTTCATTATTTTTTTTTTCTTCATCAATTTTCTTTAAAAAATCATCTTTACTTTTAAAGAACTTTTTTCTTTCAACTTCAAAGTCCTGCTGTAATTTAGCTAATTTAGCATTTTCTGTCCGAAATGTTTCAATTTCAGATTCTAACTGCACTAATCTTTTAGCCAATATTTCTGTATCAAATGATTGTTCAAAATTATAATCATTTTTTACAGGTTTAGATAAAGTAAAATTGTCTAAATATTTTTTTTCATCTTCAGTCAATTGAGGTTGATTATTTTTGTTTGTACTTTTTGTGTTTTGAATACCATCAGAATATATACATTTTTTATTAACTTCTATTAAATCTAATGGATCATACTCTTGACTAGAATCTGAATATTCATCATCAGAATCTTTTAACTGTCTATTAGGAGTGGATGTATTCACTTGGTTAAAATTAAGAGAACGAGCAGTACCAGTCACTTGTACTTCTTTATTACTGTTGAAATTTGATGTACCTTGGAGAAGCTGATGAACGCTAGGAGATGCTGCATTAAAATTTGAATCATTAGCTCGTTCTTCTAATATTTCAAAAGCATGCAACTCTTTTTGTTCTCTAACAATTTCAAAATCTTCATTAATAATCTCATCTTTAGGTTCATATCTATTCCATGTTTCAACCATAACTTTGTTTAAATCCAAGCGATTACTTTCCATTACTTTATTATCTAAAATACAAAGAGAAAATTGAATGGAAATTGAATAGTACAGTTAATGATTAAACTCACTAAAACTTGTTTTAGAAGTCTTATATGATTCACTAGTTTTTTTTTTTGGAATTTTTACTTTTTGAATAATTTGTGGCTTTCTAAACTTTAATCTTCCTTTTTTATTTTTTACTTCCTCAAAATTTAAACCATATCTTGCTAAACCTGCCCCTTTTTTTAAAAAAGGTTTTGGATTTTTATTCTGAACTTCAAAATTATCTTTTAAATCTTTAGCTTTTTCACTATTCATTTTTTCATCATCATTTACTGTTCTAATTTTACATGTTTGAGCAAAATTTTTGTTAGGCGATAAAATCACTAATTCATCTCGTGCAAAATGATTCTAAAAAAACAAAACATTACTATTTTATAAAATTTAACAGATTAATTTTATATTTACAGGAGAAGAATTTCTTTTACTAAAATCAGAACATTTCATAATTAAATTTTCATCTAGTTCAGATATTGTAGAAAAATTATCATCCTCATTCTGATTTTTTATTTTAAATGATCTAAGGTTATTTAATAACTTTTCATCAATCCTATAACACGAAGAAATTTCATCATCTGTTGGGTTTTCTAAAAAAACAAACGCATTTATTAATAATAATGATAATTTATCACTTGTGGCTAGTATTATTTAAAATTTATAATATTAATTAAAAACTAAATATATTAGAAATGTTTAAGCCATTGTATAATAGAAAGAAAAAACTCAAAATTAGTTTATTTTAAGATGGTAACACTTGTTGATGTTGTCATTTACATATTTAATATGTAAATTATTAGACATTATAATTAAATCCAGGAATAATAAAATAAAAAAAATGTCTGAAGCTTTCTTTGATACTTAAGAGCTAGAGACTATAATTTAAAATTTTACTAGTGTGAATAACAACCACAAATGATTTTTCTTGTAGAAACAAAAAATATTATTAGTAATAATAATGTTAAAATGAAAACAATTTTAATTAAATAATATATTTATGTTTATTAAACATTAATAACATAAATTCTATAGTAGCTATAAATTAAAAAATCTTTTAAAATTGAACTATATAGAAAAAATAATCGATAAGAGTCTAAATAAAATTAAGATTTAATGAAATAAATTTTTATTTCAGACACCTTGTACATCATCAGCTATATCAAATATTTGTAATTCATCTTCGATATTATTTCTCGATGATTTTACAGAAGCACTTTCTTGCAAGATTTCTTTTTGGGATTCTTGCCAAGCTTTCAACTCTTGAACACATTGCATTACAGTAGACATGTTGAAATCCGTACCATAACCCTTAATTATTTCCATAAAGTCACAAGTAGTATCATCATCCATGGCTAACATAAAATTAATTCTACCTTTTCAATTATCTCTCATAAGCTTTCAATACTTGTATATGTATATCATTAAAATAATACTTCTGAATTATTAAACATCAAAAAACTAAAAACGTTCTCACATTCTAAATTAAAATACTTTTATAAAAATTACAATACCATGGGATTTTATAATAAGTACCGGAATTTTCTTTAATTAATAAAAGTTTAATAACGGCATAATTAGTTTGATAGTTTCCTTATAAAATATTGAATACTTGTTGCCGAAAAGCTAAACATTGTTATCAAATAAATTTTGGCGGTATAGATAAGAATCAGTTTGTATCAGGGTAGATTTATTATTCATTTTATTATGGATTTATTTACCTTTAATTCTACAAAAGTACATTTTGTTCGGGCTTTAATATTTTGTATTGAGACTTAAATCACAGAATACATTGGACAAGAATGGTTATTTAAAAGAATTTAATTTATTTCTTGTAAAGACTACAATTTTGAACTAAAGTGCACCAATGTAACCGTCATTAAAGGAAAACAAAAAAAAACAATAAGTGACACTGTTTCACATCACTTTTAATATTAAAGTTATAAGTAATTCATGTATTAAGTTAAATTACAATCATTTTTTTACATTTTTATTTATTTACTAAAATATGTCTAGATAAGTAATATGTATTTTATGGATTTGATCGGTGACGTCATATCATTTTTTTAGAGGGTGCATTCTTTTTGATATGTTTTATGGGGCACCTTACGATTATATCAGTTTTTTAACAAAAAAAAAAGTCGTCTAAAAAATATTATAAACCATTGTCTAGCTAAATTGTAAACTAGAGGATTAAGTTCCCTATCTCCACTACCCGACGCTTATAATTATCTAGATAAATATAAATTTTCGGAAAATATCTATTTTCAGCAATTAATTAACTAATTTTACTCAGTAAAATAACCTGGGATATAAATGCGCACTTTTTATTCTATTGCATATAACTTATATTACAAAGATGATAGTTACAAAAAAAATTTATTTTTTTTAAGCTAGACAACCTATTAAGTATTATTAATGAGATAATAACTTATTCAATGAGTAATGAACTAAAACAATATTATAAAGTAAAATTATTAGAGTAAGAAACCAGTTAATATTGAGATTGTTTTAGCGAGCAAATAAATAAACAAAAAACTTAATTTAATTTAATTTAAACTTAAATTTAATCAGGTATTTTTTTACTAAAAGTAACAAAATAATGACAAGGTTATTGAATATAGTAATTTTACAATAACATATCATAATATTTAATTGTAATAATTTTTAAATTGTATTCTTTATGAGCTACGTTAGACTTTTAACCCATATCAACATTTTTTCATTAAATTACAAAATTGTGTGCGAAAATGAAATGTCATTTGTTTGATTGATTAAATAACATATTTTATATCCAGTCATAATAAAATTCAAGTCTTATAAAATAATTTTATAAACTTAAATTAGTAGTCTTAAAGATTGAATTATAACATAAAAGTATAACAAATTTTTATAATCTATACAATGTATTTATTTTAATCTCGATGATTTCTGAAACGTCTGAAAAAACATGAAAAATGGTCTAAAATTTGTTATTTATCAACTAAAATAAAATTGGTTCATAACAATAAAATAAAATAAATTATTTCAATATTGGACTCTTACTTGTATGGACTTTTACCCTAGTTTACTTTAAATAAAAACACTGATAATTCTATAATATTGGATAGTTATCACATTGTGGCAGTACACAGCGGTTAAGTATACAGTGTAGTTGTTTTGTAGTTTTATCGTTTTTTCATCTATTAAAAGCTTATTATTAATAATTATTGCATATAATTTATGTTTATATATACTTAAGATATATATTTAGTTATATTATTAAGTTTACATGTATATTTTTATACAGTGCGTATGATGATGTATAATTGCATTTATACATTGGGGTAAATTAAGCAAATTTTTTATTGATCTGGAATATTTTACAATGAGAACATAATGAAAATAAAAATAGCACGCTTTCATAAAATTAATTATAAACACAATCGTATTTTAACGATGCACAAAGTATTTATGATAATAATAAACTCCTAATTACATTGTTTACAAAAATAAAGTTGTTGAAAAAAATTATATATTAAAAACATTAATAAGAAGCCTTTTATTTTAAAGCATTACCACACATTCTATTTAAAACAAATTATTCCCCTGATTAAATATTATCATTTGAGTAATTTTTAGGCGTGCAAAACTATACTTTTGCGACTCTGGTTTTATCAAGAGTTACAAGCGCATGCATACAATTTTAGTTCCTTTCCAATTAAGTAGAAATGTAAAAAAAAAATCAGTATCCTGGAAGTAAAAAAGATTTCCTAGATTTAAGGGTTCAAATTCACCCGCATACTTTGCATTCCCTAGTGCATTTATATAATATTAATATGTTATGAATTAATTGGAGAATATTTTTTTATATGTAATTATAGTATTACATATGTTTCTTTATCTAATTGTAAGCAACTAATTATATCGCAGAGATATCATTTTCATCACTTTAGCGAGTAAAAGCGTATCAAAGGTCAAATATTTTTGCAAACAAACTAAATGCACTGGCAATTTTAAAAATATTTAAACACATCTATTTCGTGATATTAATTAGAGTGACATTATGTAAATGAAAGTTTCAACTATGAAACTGATGTAATTAAAAATTTTATCAATAATCAATAAAAAAAATATAGTATTAAAATATACATATATATACAGAGTGTTGCAGATCTAATTGTCACATATAACTTTTGATACAATTATGATTTTGTTTTAATATATTTTTTAATATTATTGCCTTCTTAGACTATATATAAAATAAACTTTTTATTATTTATCACTGTTAAGAAAAAAAATAAAAATAATTTTTTTTTTAAAACTCAAAGCAGCTACTTTTTTAGTCCTTTTTCTTACAAAAATTGTTGTTGGATCGATAACAATTTTATAACAAGTATTAATTGAGTTACAAACATTTTAATACAAAACACAAGTGGAATTTTAATACAAGAGTGACCGACCCCAAGAAATTGGGGGATTAAGGCGAGGAAAATGAAAAAGAACAATAAATAATAATAAAAAATTATTTAAGCGAACTCTAAGAAGGCAATAATTATTTTTTTTTTAATTTCAACAGAATGATAATTGTATTAAAAGTTATAAATGTTACTAGTTAGGTCTGAAATACCAGTAAAAAAATACACACAAAAATAAAGTATATATATATATATAATATAAACTAGTCTCGCTCCGGAAACCGAGGGTTTGCATCACAATCTAGAAAAGGGGCGGCAAAAGCGAATCGCAATGGACGGCGTGTCGCCTGGGGGAGGTACCGTTTCGGCACGACGTCGCTTCCAACTATGTCGTATCGGTGTGTCGTGTCGTCGCCAGGACGTGACGGTTCGGCATGAAATTCAAATAAACGGGTGTCGCGTTTCGAAAAAGGAAATATCATAGAGTAGCCGCCAATCCAAAGTCGATGGGACGAAAATTCGACTCGGTAGCGGAGGCGGTAGGACAGTCGGTTTAGTCGCATGGCGATTGTAATATGGGCATTCGTTTCGACGTTCTTCGGGTAGGACGGATCACAGATATTTGGTCAAAGCGTCCGATCAGCAAGTGATCACTCGGACAAAATAGGCAGCACGTTCCGGTGGAGATCGACGTGTTCCAAAGAGAACAATAACTAATTAAATCAAGTAACACGTCAATTAAAAACGATTCGTTAAAGGGAGAGATGATATCGAACGTCGACAGTTTCGGAGAAAGTGACATCAGCTGCAGTATGTCGTTTGTACGGTGGGTGCACTCGTTTCGACCCCCGTCGACTCGGACGGATAAACGTGTATGACACAATTACTCGAACCAAGTATTCCGAAGAGTGGAACAGCGCAGTNCAGATATTTGGTCAAAGCGTCCGATCAGCAAGTGATCACTCGGACAAAATAGGCAGCACGTTCCGGTGGAGATCGACGTGTTCTAAGGAGAACAATAACTAATTAAATCAAGTAACACGTCAATTGAAAACGATTCGTTAAAGGGAGAGATAATATCGAACGTCGACAGTTTCGGAGAAAGTGATATCAGTTGCAGTATGTCGTTTGTACTGTGGGTGCACTCGTTTCGACCCCCGTCGACTCGGACGGATAAACGTGTATGACACAATTACTCGAACCAAGTATTCCAAAGAGTGGAACAGCGCAGTACTATCAACACATCGTGGGTACGACAGAAGTGATTATGTTGTAACTTTACCAAGTTTTTAAATTTACAAATCACATTAATTAATACCGTCTTTACCATAATACAAACATAAAAATGAAAAATATTTAATTATTTCATTTGCTGTATAATTGTCAATTACACATTTTAATAAATGATTACATCATTGCCGTTACNTTTACCATAATACAAACATAAAAATGAAAAATATTTAATTATTTCATTTGCTGTATAATTGTCAATTACACATTTTAATAAATTATTACATCTTGCCGTTATNCATTTTAATAAATGATTACATCATTGCCGTTACACAATCATCAATAAAAATATACATATATTAATTGTTGCACGATATTCAAGAGTGTAAATAATTAAATATACAAGATTAATAAGTGATCACAACTGAACCACAGAAATTNGAGTGTAAATAATTAAATATACAAGATTAATAAATGATCACAACTGAACCACAGAAATGATCGTGAATGTTAATACATAATTTAAATAATTACACTATCTTATTATTCATACTTTATCGCCCTTGCAGCCACCAATAAATAAACTACTGACCAACTTAATGATTAATGTATGCAAAGTAAATTAATTAAAATGTAATAAGTTTAACTCTATCAAAAGAATAAAAAATAATTGTACAAAGTAAATATCAATTTTTTTTAACAAACCAAAATTAATGTGTAATAAATTATCAACAAAAGCCAGCACTCTTGACCAACAGGTCCTCAATCCGGCATTCTAAAAATTATTGACATTGCTGCTGTACAACTATCAATAGATAAAAAGTTTATAAAATCATACGCATATCATCGAGTATCAATACACATACGTATTATACATATACACATAAATGATTTAAACATTCTTAGATGAATAAAAAAAAAACGCAGCGAGTAACAGTTATCTTGTGGTGAACAAATAAAATACTAAAAGATCAAATAATTGTTGATAGCAAAGCAGATAAATTTAAT